AATTATAGGCTTATAAGAGACTGAAATGTATGCCTTTTCTAAGTCTCTTGTGTACAAAACAGTCTGGGTTTCTGTCAGTATAAATATTTGACTTGTACTGAAATGACAGGGACAATATCCTGCAAGAGATATCTTTTTATTAAGTGTCCAAAAAAGTTTTTGACCTTTCATGTTTAAAAGAAAAGGCGTAGCTTCATTCCACACATACCAGGCAGATCACTATGGAGCTTAGAGAGATGGACCTGTTATTTCCATTGCACATTATCAGGGCTACACTATTAAATTTACCAAAAAAGAATGAATGAATGAATATATAACATAATGGCGTGTCTGCTGACCTTTAAAGTTATGCACTTTGACTTAACACGTGTTAATACACAGCTGATCTCCTTAACAACAGGAATTCCTCCTAAAGTTTTCTTTTCTCTTTAGGTGCTCTGGGAAATCACTCGTTTTTTCTTGCTGGCTATTGAGCTCAGTGTCATCATCTTGGGACTGGCTTTTGGTGAGTTTGTCACGTTGGTTTCAGTTCTCATTTACCACGCATTTTATTTTTAGATGTGTGATGTTTCTAGCTTTTTACATGACAAATATGTTTAATATGTTTTTTTTTTAATTTTCTTTTTCAGTGCCAAGTGCAATTAATTTAATGCAGCTGTTTTCCTGTTAAGCATGATTCTTCCTCTGTTCATTAGGCCACCTGGAGAGCAAATCCAGCATAAAGCGTGTGCTGGCTATTACTGCTGTGTTGGCTCTGGCGTACTCAGTCACACAGGTAATAGCAGATGGGAGGTTAAATATAGTTTCAAATGATTACATCATGACATATTGTGGCAGGAAATTCTGCATGCAGATGAACTGAATAATACATTGTCTCAGGGCACGCTAGAGATACTGTATCCTGACAGTCATCTGTCAGCGGAGGACTTCAACATCTATGGTCACGGGGGCCGGCACTTCTGGCTGGCAAGCTCCTGCTTTTTCTTTCTGGTCAGTAACTCCATTATAATGGCAGCATGAGCAAAAAGATCCTTTACCATAAATGATCAGCCTGTTATCTCATATTTGTCTTTTTTTAAATAGGTGTACTCTTTGATTGTGATCTTACCAAAAACTCCAGTAAGAGAAAGGATATCTCTGCCATGTAAGTTAAAAGTTAAATTGCATTAAACAACAAAGTTAAGATTGAAGAAGTAGAATTGCTCCTGACTTTTGATATGATAATAAAAAAAATTTTTTAACAGTTTTTCAATAGCAGAAGTATTTTTGACCTAATTGGCCACATAAAGTCGTGTCTTGTCTTTTATAGTTAACTTTTTAAAACCACATCTATACTTACCTCACGCAATTGTACTTCCCCTGCTGCGTTTGTGTCATTGTCTTCATTTTCATATCCTCACACAGTTGATCAGAAGAGCCATTGTTGTTGACCTTTGCTATAAAGTTAGAGTAGTTGGGTGATTCATCAGTGAAGTTCCATAAAGGGTCTTATTTATAGTGAGTCATTATCCACAGTAGAGGCCAGTAGGGGGCGGCAACAAAGTCCATTTGAAAAAGTAAAAAATCAGGTTGATTGAAACTAGAGCCTTTTTTTCTGCTCTTGTCCACAATTCTGACAATGTTGACAAAAGTAGTAGTTCACTGACAGGTAAAACACTTTTCTTACTCAAATATTGTTAAAGCCAAACTTGGTATTTAACGTATTAAATTTACCTGCAAAGCCCTGATTGATCTCTGTTTGGCTTCCTTTCTCCAGCTAAGAGGAGTTTCTACGTCTATGCTGCCATCCTGTCATTGCTGAACCTCGTTCAGGGCCTCGGCAGTGCTCTGTTGTGTGCTGGAGTCATAGAGGGACTATGGTCAGTATTCTGAAGCATATTTGCTTATATTGCATCAAAATTACATTATATAGCTATAAAGCCAATTTAGATGTTTTTGTGATTAAAATAAGTAAATCAAGCCTCATATTTAATTTTATGCTTCTAAGAAGAAACAATAGCTGCATTCAGAGCAGCTGTGGCTCTAATGCTTTGTAAGCCTATTAGAAAATGCCCTTGATATGGAGCTGGCTGCCTGTTTTAAAACCTCTTAGTATTTAAATTTTGTTGGCTGAGTTGCACCCACTGGGATGACTCACTGTTTTGCTGGGTCCACCAAAGTTCAATGAAGTTTATACGGGCGAATCTGAACATAATAGTCAGGCAGCAATCTGTTAGTTATGCTTTTTGTGAAGCTGAGAGCTGAATAAGCTTACTGAGACGGTTTGCTCTTTCTCTTGTGAACCAGCTGTGTGGATGTCACAACGTTCCTGTACTTCTCTGCCTTCGCTCCGCTCATTTATGTCACATTCCTCAAAGGCTTCTTTGGGTATGTAGTCACATGAGATGTAGAGAATAAGAGTGTAATAAGCACTTATTATACATTTGTTTTTTTTCTGATTAGTTTTTATTTTTTCTACTTTCTTTTTTTTAAATTCAGCTTTGCTTTTGGTTTAGTTTCCGGGTGAATTTGCTAATTTCAGTTTAGCTTTTTTGTTTGAAAATTTAATATTTTAGTGTGTTTTATTTATTTTGTTTGTTTCAGTGTTAGTTTTAGTCTTTGTAATTATGTTTGTATTGAGGACTTATGTCCGACAGGATTCAGGAAATGTAGCCTATAGATATGCTTGATTTATTTGATGAACACTGCAGGAGCTGACAGTTTTAGGTCTGTACAAATAAAAGCTTACCTTTTCCCTCATCTCTGCAGTTCAGAGCCCAAGATCCTATTCTCCTACAAGTCGCAGGTAGATGAGCCAGATGAAAGCGATGTCCACCTTCCTCCAACCATCGCTGCAAACCTTGGTCGTAAGGAGATGAATGACCAGGGCCTGTATTATTCCTCCACCCAGATTGATGGCTCTGGACCGAGCAGTACTCGCATGGTTGGAGCGTACCTGGATGATGTTGCCTCCGGACCCTATGGGTCCAGCAGCATTAACAGCGTTGAAGCTGACCGCTGGAGACCTGTAATTGTGTGAAGGGGTCAAGAGTTGTACAGCTGGACTAAAATTGTTGTGCATGTGTAGTGTTGTCAGCAATATGGGGATCAGTGAAATTGGTGCAGAACAAAGCAGTTGGACACCAAGGAGGGTGATAGTGGTCTTTTTTTGGAGGCCTGAAAGAGTGGGCGCTTAAAACAAACAAACAAAGAAAAAAAAAAAAACTTATTTCTGAAGGACTGTGAATTTAGCAACTGCTTTTGTAACATTGTCCAGAGTGCATTTCTGCTGCTGCTGCTGCTGCTCCTGCTCCAGCTCCAAACTGGGAGCGCTGCCCCTCATTGTGGCCCCAACAGGCTTGATAATGATTCTGCTCTGCAAGCTCTTATTTCTGGGAGTTTATTGACTCGTCTCACCACATTTTCTGTCATTCCAGCACTAATGCAACAATGAATATCTCAGTTCTCACCGATGATGTTTTAAACCTATTTTAATTACAAACGTTTGTAAAACTGATCAAACATTCTTGTGATGGAAACCTTACATCTATACATTCCCACTGAAGACTTTCAGTAACAGCATCTCATTTGACTTAAGATTTGTGACCGATCAGGCTAATCAGTTTGCACTGGTCACATTGCTTATTGGAAACACTTCAAAGACTTGTGCTAATTCATTTGGTATGTGTTGACAAGTAAAACAGTGTTGTTGTGTTGTATGTCACTTCATTATAATAGGGAGCTGCTGAATACAGGCAACACATTGGTGTTAAAGGTCAGAATGTCACAGACACAAAGGACAATTCCTAACAATTGAAGCCAGATCTTGTGGATGACATCTTTTTGTGTGCTTTTTACTTTAATTCCAGATTAATCAATGCTGCCAGTGAAATGACATTTGTTGGCAAGTTATGTGTGTGAGATAAAAGACAAAATATGCACAAACTTATTTGTGTATTCCACGTCAATCTTGTGATTGATACCAGTGGTTTTCCAGTTTTGCTTGCTGCCAAAGGTTGCTCTTGCAGATTTGATTTTTTCCCCCCTATATTCAGAGTTACAAATGTTACCACAAGTGGTGAACGTACACCAAAAACAACCGTTTTCATAGTATCTAATGGGGGTATTGATACAGTTTCATTACATAGTTTAAACTTTTGTCTTTTGACAAACAAGGTCAGGCACTTGCATTGGATCATTGTAATACATTAACAAGGATAAGTATATTGCATAATGTTGCCAAGGAAAATACAATATTTGGTATGAGGTGATTGCTGTATTTAAGCTAGCAGTATTCATCAGCATAGTGTTGTAACC